AATACTATGCGATGTGTAAAACATGCTAAGAATTGTGCGTTACAAAATGTATTTAAAATATACTGTAACGAAGCACTCCGCAATGCATCGTTCCGACGATACCAGCCGCCAGAATATTTCATATTTCGCGATATTAGAATTACCGCCGTCGACAGTAGCTATCGCCGCTCCGACCGAACGCGTCCGAAGATCGCCGAACGATCTGCGCTTCGCGCTATCCGCCGCTCCGACCGAACGCGACCGAACATCGCCGATCGGCAATCCCCTCCGCAGGAATTGCCAACCGCCAAGCGATAACGGAAAAGACCGTAATTAAACGAGCGGGAGCAATAATTAGTATATAACGCGTAATTATTGCTCCGGGAGCTCTCTTCTATCCTAACCGCCGTTCCAGTACAAACTCCGCTCCGATCCTAGCTCCGGTGATCCGACGCGAAAAGGGGGTCAAGTGTTCTTGGTCTCCGTCAAGCGTTCTTGACAGTCGATCACCAAAACTCCTGATCCGCTGGCCGTACGACGCGAAAAGGGGGTAAAGCGTTCTTTGCCTCCGTCAAGCGTTCTTGACAGCCGTACGCCAGTATCCTAGACTTTGCGCACCGGCGAGAAAAGGGGGTGAAGTGTTCTTTGCCTCCGCCAAGCGTTCTTGGCAGTCGGTCGTAAGGTTCCTGTGCATCTTACATTGTTGCGAAGCGTCCCTCATTGCATAGAGGGAACGCCCACCGCGTTATCCGCGCCGCGACCGTCGTCCGCCGCTGGCGTATACTTCGCGTACGCGTATTCGTATTGTTATACCGCCGACCGCGCCTCGCGTCCGTCTTGGGATTCGGAGATTCCCCCGCGTTTTCCGCCGTACTCGCGCCGTAATTTACACGTATAGTTTTTCTGTTCGTGCCGTCCGTAATATCTTAGTTTCTTTGTCCGCGCCTCGTAGTTTTTTCTATACACGTCTTGTATCCGTCTCGTCTACTTGTCGTCTCGACAATATACACCACACACACACACCTACACCGGCACACGAATACACACCTGATTGTCATTCACGAACCCGTACACACACACATTTGTAAATACACACTACATACAATAAACGTTTCTGTCTCTTGTGAAATACTGTGTCTAGTCTAATCATTTGATTCTGCATTCTCTCTTCCCGTGCGAACCTTTTTCGCGACTAGCGAAATTTGCGACAAGCTGATCCGCGCGGAAATTAGGTTGTTTCAATACAACTGGTGGTCGCAATGCCAAAAAGAACTGTAACAAATTTAAATAAATATAGATATGAAATTTTTTTAAATATATATAATATGTTTTAATTTCGACCCCTTTCCTTCCTTAGTAGTTAAGTATTAGAGCGTTCTAACGTGTTCTAACATGTTTAAATTTATTTCGACAAATTTCAACTTTTCCGAAGGGACGATTTTATCGCAGTCGTAAAGATAAACTCTATTGTTATTATTGGCGTCGTCCTCATAGACAAAAAAAAGGGTTCGATACGGTTAGAGTGCCTTCTTACGATATATTGTACGGTATGCTCGATAGCAGTTACACTGAAAAATAATTGATTGCTTAGTCATATCTTAAAACTCGAAAATATCTATTTAATTAAATCGCGTGCGAGAAGGAAACGGAATTGGAGGAAGAGAGAGAACAATAGGGTAAGTATAGAATCACAATGGGTGGAACAGAGAGAGATGCGCAACGGGTTAGAAAGAGAGCGCAGTAGGGTAAGTACAGAACTGCAATGGGTGGGAGAGAGAGAGCGCGAATGATATGAGACTGTAACGGGTGGGACTGAGAGAACGTAATAGATACGAGAGACAATACGTGGGAGGAGAGAAGGAACAAAGTCCCCCTTCCCGCAGACCCCTCCCCCTGTAACGTACTACCCCCCCTTCTTTCTAGGGCCCGGTATGGCAACTACATCTAACCGAACGCATGCGCGTTTAGTTTTGTCCAGCAGCAGCACTGTCTTTGATTATCGTTCATTGAGAACACACCTTGTTTTAGTTCTAAGAGACTAGAGACGCTAACCGTCAATAAGAAAACATCACGTTTGTAAAATATATCAATAAAGTTATACTATTGTTCTCGTACATAATAAATACGTTTGTCCTGAATTATTGTTCCTCCTGAATAATTAATTAGAGTAGTTTATCCGCTACACCGGCGCGACACCAGCGCCGCTTGGTGGCGGTTCTGTATCCGTGTGCACTTCCCCCTCTCTGCCTCCCTCTC